GTTGTTTTTTAAGCAGTAGAAGAAATCACACTGAGGAAATATTGTTTATTGACTAGGGTATTGCATTTTCCAATCTCTTTCAGTGAATTAAAATGCAGTTTACTTGTTGTTCTTCACAATTCTAGATTATTAAATCAATTCATAAACATTTGTTTCTTCAAGGGAAACATCAAAGTGACAATAATCTTATAATAATAATATTAGATTAAAATTAACCTACCTCTACAAGTGTATTACACCTTACTGAAGTGTGTGTGTGTTTACATTTTTCAGGTGGTCAGACTTTGTAGCGTTTCCCCAGGAGCGTAGCTCTCTGAACCTGGTGTCTTTAGCCGGCACGCTGTACGCTGTAGGAGGTTTTGCCATGATGCCTTTGGAGGACAGTGAAGAGATCGTTCCCAGAGAGATGAACGACATCTGGAGGTGGGTCATAATAACAAGACAGTTTCTTTTCATTAATCACCCACAATGTTATTTCCTATTTAGCGATGATTAATGCTAATATAGATAAAAAATAAACCCTTTGTCATGTTATTTTCAGGCAGAAATCATATTAACCATTTGCTCTGTAAGGTTAATTTAGAACAAAATTGTATATTATTATGCACAATATATACAAAAAAATCCAAAAGCATGTAGTGCCCAGCTGCACTTTCATGACCAAAGTCTGTTAATCTCCTCAGGTATGATGAGACAGAGAAGAAGTGGACTGGGATCCTCAGAGAGATCAAGTACGCTTCAGGGTCCACCATTCTGGGGGTCCGTCTAAACACCTTGCGTCTCAACAAGATGTAAAACCCCCTCCAGTCACTGCTTGTTAAAGGAACAGTGTGTAGAATTTAGTGGGGGACTCTGTAGAAGAGGGCCCACTCTCTCAGTAGATAAACACAGCTCATTCTAGGGCAACAAAAACATACCGATTCATAGATTCAGGTGTTTATACACTACCTATGAATATTATATTCCATTTCTGCCATTAGAGCCTCCTAAATGTTACACA